CTCTCTCTCTCACACACACACACACACACACACACACACACACACACACACACACACAAGAGGATGCACACACACACACCAACCCCAGCGGGACCCTTTTTTTCTTTATTTGTTTTCAACTTTTGCATCTTAATTTTTTTTAAACACCCAATCTCCTAGGCTACCTGAGTGGCCCGGGGTCACTTGCCCGGCCGGGGCAAAAACAATTAAAAAGATAGAAACAATGTTTTTTAATTGATTTATGTTGGAAATTTGGTGCAGAATTTTGATGTGACCCTGAGGTTAAAGTTGTTCAGTTTATTGTTTTGCATAACATGATTTGTTTTCGGATTTTTGGATTTTTTTTCCTTTTTTTTTGTTGGGACCTTCCTTGGTCCCTGGCATGGGCTGGCCACCTGGGACCCGGGCGGCCCTAGCCAATTTCCCGACACAAACCCAAAAAACATTTCTCAAAAAATACAGGACTCAGCGACCATGTCCCTCGTGATAAAAAATGACCAAAAAAAATTCCTGCTTTGCTTTTTATTTTTTTTAAATAATTTAAATTGATTTTTGTTTTTCATTTAAAACAAATCTTAAATGACGTTGGATTCCAAAAATAAAATGCCATCTACGTGCTTATTCGCCGGCGAACACGTAGGATTGTAGGGTTTTCCAAGCCCTACAACCCTATATTTTTTTGTTCTTTTTTACGTATTTTGAGGGGTGGGAGATTTTTTATTGGCAGCTACGTGACACCTGCGGCCTAGGTTTAATGAATGATGATTTTTTATTGGCAGCTACGTGACACCCGCGACCTACTAGTCACGGGAATATGGTTACGTGACGCATGATGGTACAGAAGCAGATAGGTTTAATGGATAGTGTGCAGGGAAGCAAAGTTGAGGGGTGGTGAAGGGGTTTGTGAGTGGGTTTACTGAATTACGTATAGGGGAGTAAATTTCGCGGGAATATGGTTACTTTTCGCATGATGATACGGATGCAGAGTGGGTTTAATGAATCGTGTGTAAGGGAATAAAATCAGGAGGAGGAGAGGGGATTTGGGAGGTGACTGTGGGCCATGCCTAGGTCTGTAGTGAGTCGCAGAATGGGTGTCCGGTGGCTGAGCAGTAAAAAATGAAAAAGCGAAGTACCACATTCTTTGGTAATAGTCGTAGTGTTCAGTAGGGAGTGGCACAGGTGAGCGCATGAAAAAAACGCCCGATGGACCAAGCCTACAAGATTCAGTTTTTCGTTTCTTGTCTTTTTCAGGGTTTTCGGATCTTGGGATTTCTTCGACTTGCTCAACCCGACCATAGCAGAAAGCGGGACCCGACGGACCAAGCTCACAAGATTCAGAGTTTTTGTTTTTTCTGGTTTTTCATATTTTGGTCGGATTTTTTTTTTTGGATTTTTCAAATTTTGGTTGGATTTTCTTCGGTTCGCTCAACACGACGGCAGATGAAAGCAGGAAAAACGTGTGATGGAATTTTTAATTCGTCCAAAAAAGCAGATAGAGGCATCATTGGCGCCCGGCGGGCACAACCACGGAGTAAGGGGACTAAGTATGGGAGAGGTTTTCTCTTTAAGGGGACGAAGTACAGGAGAGGTTTTCTCTTTCGAAGTACTTTCTTAGTGAGACGTACGGTACTTAAGCAAGTAGGTTCTAGGATCTCGACATCTCGGAACTATCCCCCTGATGAGGTCGCGAACTGGCAGCGACTGAAACTAGTCGGGGATGCCAGCACCTTCTCCTTTTGGGGTTTCACTCTGTTCCAGGCAACGAAGAGGGAGGTGACAAAGGCTATGGCTATGGTTTTTTCAACTTTTTGTGCGTTAACTACTATCTTTCGGAAAAATTTCGACACGGTCTGCCCATATATACGTCGTGCTATCTCGGCTATGTGTTCCATGTGTTGGTTCTTGTACTAACATTAACTTTCTACATTGAGTACCGATGGCGGCAACCTACCAGGAGCTTTAACCTGCTCTCTGGTGGCCCCGTAGCGATAGGACATGTATCGAAGCTGAGTCGACGACGGAACGGTGGGACCTGAGTGTTGATCAAGCGGAGAGTCGAATCTCACAGTAGGACGAGCTCTTAGGTAGTACTAGCAATGGTTAGTGGAGGACCCTAGAGGTGATGGTGGAAGCAATGGTGTAGGTGGGAATTGGAATAGCGGTAATAACAGGGCCGGGGGTAATAACGGAGGTGGCAACTGGAGCGGTCCCGGTGGCGAAGGCAACGGAGGTCCGGGCAATGGTGGCAATGGAGGAGGGAACGGATGGAACTCGGGCGGGGGCAGCGGAGGTGGTGGCTATCGAAGCAACGGTAAATGTGGAGGCAGGTTGGAATGGTGGAAACGGCAATGGGGGTAACTGGGGTAACGGTAACGACGGTAATAATGGCAGGAACTGGAACGGGGGCAATGGGGGGGTAACTGGAATGGAAGTAGGCGGAACGGTAATGGAGGAAACAGGAACAACAACGGAGGCAGGAACAATGGGAATGGAGGCAATGGGGGCGACTGGAGAAGATCAGCAAAATGTTATAATTGCAATCAATTCGGCCATATCGCCAAGGAGTGCAACGCACCTCGGCAATATGGTTGGGGGGGGGGAACAATGGGAATAACAATGGTCAGAATGGTAATGGGGGCAATTGGGGTAACGGGGTTGGGAGACAACCTAACAAATTAGTAACAATGGCGCTAGTAGCTCTTCATCCAACAGGCCAGCTAACACAAGCGGATTAAGTAAAGACACGGAGAAGTCAATTCGGATGGTGTGTGAATTTTCGCAGAGACAGATGGAAATCGAGCAGCGACAAGAGAACGAGACCCGAGAAGCTAAAAAACGGCGAAGGAGATAGGAGGAAGAACGAGTAGCCAGAGAGGAACGTAATCGATTAGAGCTGGAGAAGAAGAACGTCAAGGAGAAAAAGGAAGCGGATCGGGAGTGGAAGTTACAGGTGTTCCTGGCGAAGCAGAAGGAAGCAATAAAAGAAGAATTTGAAAAAATGTTTGATAAGAAACTGCGTAAGGCAATAGTTTCAGAAAAACTTGTGAAGGGTAAAGCAGTGGCCAATTCGTCGAGCTCAGAGGAGGAAGCTGAGGAACCTTCGGAGAAGCGCTTGGAGAAGAGGAAACGACAACCCGGACACGTACGCCAAGTCAGCCCGCCTGCAGAATCGCCAGCTAAAGTGGGCAGAGCTTTTGCGCCAGCCCCGCTAACGCCCGGGCTTATGGAGAGCTCTCCTCAACTTGGAGTACCACAACGACGTGCCCATAATGACGGGGTACAACTTCGGGACCCGTATCAGGAATCCAGCTTATGGGAAGGAGCGCCAATTGTTGACGACTATCGAACAACGATGGGTTTTCAAAAGGTGATTCGCAAGTTCCTTAGCAAGAAGACAAAGCCAACTATCGAACAGATGCGTAGGAAAGCAGGGGTCGTGTATAGAGGACGACCCGACGCAGTCGACGAACTAATTGAAAAAAGGGTAATGTATTTCAGCATTGAAGCAGCTCAGCAGCCAGCAGTTACTCCCGGACAGCGTGGTGGGGGCATAGTCGTCATCAGGGACGTCGAAGAGGCACGACGTGACACACATGGAGCACCAACGAGAGACCCTGCGAACGAACCAGGGAGTAGTGACCAACCTATGGAGTGAGTTCAGCAATCATGTGGAGTTGCGGAAGAAGATGGTGAATGGGTCTGCTGTAGGGATCGGACGACTTTGAGGGATCCTCGGAAGCGTGCTGCGGTATGTAGTGGTGTTACTCGTCCTAAATGGGGAACCGTAGTGGGGGGTGAAATTCTTAGGGAATTGGTTAGACTTGATAGATAGGGATGAGGAGGGATGGGAAAACCCGGAGTCGTGTGTTTACGTGCTGATTGATCCTAGTGTGAGAGTCAGTACATTGGTCAGACCAGTCGGAGTCTACTTACACGATGGGAGGAACACGCACGAAGAGCGTGCAAGCAGGAAGGACACAGGCAGTGTAAGCTATATAGCTGGATCAGAAGACATCGGCGTGATAATTACATAGCTCTTCTGATGAACTTTATTCCAAAGAGTGATCTGGAAAGAGTCGAGATCACCTTTATCAAACGATGGTGTCCGTCACTGAATGCAAAGGGAAAGCGAAAGATTCTGAAGGGGAGCAGGAAAAGAGAAAAGGGAGGAAAGAGAGAAGGAAAACACGGTTATAGGGCATACGTATTGAACGGTCGTTGATCTCGAAGCTGACGGTTTCCGGACAACTGAATGTCGGAGGGCGTTGGGAGGTAGAAAGCAGTCAAGATTTGAGGGAGGGAAATTGTGGGTAATAATTTGGAATACGGTAGGAAATGAGATCGGGGGAACACTGTTGAAGGTGGGAAGGATGGTGAAACCACTAAAGGAAAGCAAAATCGAGCTGGAAGCAAGGACGGATTTCACAATCGAGAAGTGGTAGCCGAGGGAACTGTCTAAGGCCAACAAGGAGCTGAAGCGCGAGCTGCACCAGGCTATTATGAATCCTTGGTACAAGAAGAAACTCTACAAGCATGACTTGTCACGACTGCTACAGCTAGTGTCGGCAGTTAACCTGTTCTCTAAACCTGCTTCTAGGAAGACTCTCAAGGATATGCTCGTCGGGGTGGTATGGCAAAAGTTTTGGATTAGCATACGAAGGAAGTTTTGTGTAGGAGTGACTTACAACCTGAATTTATCGCTACGAAAGCTAAGGGATTAGTAGCTGGGAAGATACGAGTCGGACTTCCCGAACCGCTAGCCAAGTACATGTGTCGGCGACTTCTTATGGTATGGAAAAAAAATCCTACCGTGGGTCAGTCGCTCCACAACCATCAAACTTCGTCTCAACAGTTCGTTGGTGTCTGCAACTGCGTAGGCAGTGCCCTCCCACGGCGGGTGGGTCACGTGCACTGTAGGCTTAGTGAAGTAACGGAAGTGCCGGTTTTCGTGAGAAACGCCCGTAACATGGTGTACATGGGGGAAGGGGGGGAAAAGGAGACGGTTGTTCGAAAAGTTAACGACAGTCTAGCAAAACTGGGGGTTAAGTTAGTAGCGGACATGTGAGAATTAGCGCAATGTGTGAACGGAAGGATAATGGCTCAGAGCAGTCACATCAGTTAGTTGCAAGAAGTTAGGGAACTGTGTCAGGGTATGGTGTGCTGCGCGATAGATCGTAATATCGTCGACACAGCGGTGATGTGCCCAAAGGTGTACGCTAAAGGTATGAAGGATGTGGTTTGGGGCAATGACAACTTTTCCACTGTCTGGGATAGAGAGCTAAGGGAGGATGAACTGTTAGTAAGGTATGAAAAGGACTACAAGCAGCGGAATTTAAGAGAACTCAGGAAATGGGATGGGAAGGGGACTTTCGGCCAAGCCTACATCATGCCTAAACACAAGGACATATTAAGAGGTTTCGATCAATCAGTCTATCCTTCAGCGAGCCAACGAAGACGCCAAGGAGGAAAGTAGCCAAAGCGTTAAATCACCTGTTGTTCATGCTACCAAAGACGATGCACTTCAATTTGAAATCGACCCAGCAGTTGAAGGACAGGGTTGAGGAAGGCCATGAATGAGAGAAGGTTAACAACAGTCGTATTTTTCATCACCACTTCAGGACACCCTTCACCACTTCAGGATGCAGTCTGCCTAAACTGGTGGTTTTCAGGGTCTTCGGACCTTTCACCACTTCAGGACCATTCAGGTTTGAAAATCCTGAATGGTCATGAAGTGGTGAAAGCTCCGAAGACCTTGAAAACCACATGTTTAGGCAGACTGCATCCTCAAGTGGTGAAGGGTGGTTTTCATGGTCTTCGGACCTTTCACCACTTTATGACCATTCAGGATTTTCAGACTGCCATAAACTCTCACTTGACCACTTCAAGATACCCTTCACCACTTCAGGATGCAGCCTGCCTAAATAGGTGGTTTTCAGGGTCTTCGGACCTTTCACCACTTCAGGACCATTCATGATTTTCAGACGGCCCAAAACTCTCACTTCAGAATTTTCATTCCTGAATTTTCAGCTACCCGATAACCGCTTGTGCAATGAATGGGCTCGAAGGAAAGGAGAAGGAGAGCTGGTGGGAGCGGCTTTTGATATCAAAGAAATGTTTAGCAAACACTCGCACTAGTCAGTAATCTCCGCACTGGAATGGATCTTGAGATGGTATGAAGGGAAGGGACGATCAACGGTAAGCATCAGAAAAAGGGGGAAAGGATCGGCTTTTGCAAAGAAGGCAACGAGTATTGGATGCTGATTAGCTTGGTAAGGGAAATGGTGGATTTCAACTGAATCATATTACATTTTGCCGTCGGGCAGGCTAGTTCAGCAGCATGTAGGCATTCCAATGGGAAAGAGTAATAACCCCCCATTGGCGTGCATACTGTGTGTCATGAACGAGTGCATGTTTCTATCGGGTTTAGGTGCCGACAGGCGCTTAGTCAAAGGCTGGAGATTAATCGACGACGTAACCATCCTCATCGGGTGCCCGGTGAGGAATGGAGGCGTACGTCGAGGAAAGATCATGAAGAAGTTTAAGCTGACTTACAACACGAAGTTGACACTGAAACGGACCGACCATGGGGAAGGCGCGTGAGATTTTTTGGGAACCAAGATCGAGATTTATGCAAGAAAGGTGACATGTCAGGATTTTCCTAACAATTTTGACCAAGTGTGAGGCGAAAATGGGATTTTTAGTTACAGCACTTTTCAGGATTTTGAGTCTTATTCGACTCTGCGGCAAAAGAAATTGGTTATTACCTGTACTTTTTACAGGATTCGAGGAATGACATCGACTGAGGAACTAGCTGGGTTGAGTCTTCTGACCGTTAAGAGGTAAGTTGCGGTTGCAAGGATATCCCCCATGGATGTTCAACGGATGCTTCGGTCGGTTTACGAACTATCACTGACCCGCATGGGTGAAATGGTTATGAAGACTAGGGGGATGGTAACAGTAGAGAAGCAGGACGGGAGGCTTCTCTCTCCCCCCTCTCTCTCTCTCTCGTTCTCCCCTTTTATCATACTGTCATTCTATCGAAGGAAGTATTCACGGGAATATGGTTACCTACCGCATGATGATACGGAAGCAGAGTAGGTTTAATGAATACTGTTCAGGGAAGCAAAGTTGAGAGGTGGTGAAGGGGTGTGTGAGTGGGTTTATTGAATTACATATAGGGGAGTTAATTTCACGGGAATATGGTTACTTGATGCATGACGATACGAATGCAGAGTGGGTTTAGTGAATCGTGTGTAGGGGAAAAAAATCAGGAGGAGGAAAGGGGATTTGGAAGGTGACTGTGGGTTAGGCCTGGGTCTGTACTGAGTCGCGGAATGGGTGTCCAATGGCTGAGCAGTAAAAACAAAAAAGCAAAGTACCACGTTCTTTGGTAATGGTCGTAATATTCAATAGGGAGTGGCGCAGGTGAGCACATGAAAAAAAACGCCTGATGGACCAAGCCTACATTTTCTTTTCTTGTTTTTTTCATGGTTTTCGGATCTTGGGATCTCTTCGACTTGCTCAACCCTACTGTAGCAGAAAGCGGGACCCGACGGACCATGCTCACATGATTCAAAGTTTGTCGTTTTTGGTTTTTCATATTGTGTTCGGATTTTCTTTTTCGTTTTTTTCATATTTTGGTCGGATTTCTTCGGCTCGCTCAACACGACGGCAGATGAAAGCAGGAAA